CAGGATCTAAGGTAGCCTGATCACCATCACCCGCTAACACTCGATCTCTAAGGGCCACCAAGGTATCATCCTCAAACTGGCAACCACGGATCCTATCAAGCAAAGAAGACTGAACTTCCATATGGGCTGGGACACGTTTAGGATCTGAGATATCCAACCGAACCATGCTATTGGCTATGAACTGTATGTCCATAGCCAAGGGTCGCTCCTCAACAGATAAGAAGGCTAGGCTACCCATACTCACCGCCTTTCGCCTCAAGGAATCCGCTACCAAATTCGCCTTGCCCGAATGATAGAGAATAGAGAGGTCATAGTCCTTCAGGAGCTCAATCCAACGACGCTGCCTCGAATTAAGGTCCTCTGGCCATAATGTACTGAAGAATCCTGTGATCGGTATAGATCTCACATCGAACTCCATACAAGTAGTGCCTCCAAATCTAAAGTGCGAAAACTATCCCCGCCAACTCTAAGTCATGGGTGGGGTTGTTGCGCTCAAGAATCTTAAGCTGCCTGGACGTATAAGCAATAACCCGGCCCTGCTGCATCTATACACAGCCCAAACCAATGCCTGATGCATCACAATAAACCATGAAGCCCTCGCCCTCAACTGGAAGAGTCAATATAGGACCGGTGGTCAATAACTCCTTGAGCCTCAAAAGCTCGCCTCACACTCTTCTGACCAAATAAAGGGAACATCAACAGGAGTCAACCGGGTCAGAGGTGCTGCCAAGGTAGAGAAACCCTTTAAAAATCATATGTAGTAGCCTGCTAGTCCGACGAAGCTCGGAATCTCAGTAACTGAGGTGGGCCTAGCCCAATCACGAATAACATCAATCTTCGCCGGATCTACCATAATGCCCTCGTTCGTTACAACATTCCCCAAGAATGCTACAGAGTCTAACAAAAACTGGCACTTAGAGAACTTGGCATAAAGTCGCTGATCTCTCAAAGTCTCAACCCCAATGACATCACCAAGAACTCATAATGTCCATAACGGGTCCTAAATACAGTCTTAGGGATGTCCGCTGCCCTAATCCTCAACTGGTGGTAACCGGACCTCAAATCAATCTTAGAGAACACGGAAGCTCTTTTCAGCTGGTCAAATAGGCCATCAATCCTAGGCAAAGGATATCTATTCTTCACTGTCACCTTATACAACTGCCTATAGTCAATGCACATGCGCATCGTATCGTCCTTATTCTTAGCAAAAAGAACGGGAGCACCCCAAGATGATACACTAGGTCTGAGAAATCCTTTACCCAAGAGATCCTGAAGCTGAACACTGAACTCCTTGAGCTCTGCAAGAGAAATCCGATATGGCGGATTAGAAATAGGGTGAGTACCTAGCTCAAGCTCAATCGGAAAATCAGTATCACGCTCCGATGGTAGGTGAGGTAGGTCAGTAGGAAATACATATAATAAGTCACGAACAACAGGAAGTGACTCAACCGGAGGAACCTCCCTACTCACATCATGCACATAGGCCAAATATGATAGGCATCCACTAGCCACTAACCTCCTACCACGAATAAAAGATATAACCCCAACTGGTGTGCTACCAAGAGATCCCTGCCACACCACCGGAGGAATACCATAAATGGCAAAGGTAACGGTCTTAGAAAAGCAATCTAAAATAGCGCGATAAGGGGATAACCAATCCATGCCCACAATCAAATCGAAATCAACCCTGTCAAGAAATATAAGGTCAGCCCGGGTGTCACGCCCCTGCATAGTAACTAAGCAAGATCGAAATACCTGGTCCACTACTAAAGACTCACCCACGGGGGTCGACACACGCAATGACGCAACCAAAGGCTCAGACATCATACTCAATAGAGAGGCATAATAAACTGAAACATACGAAAAAGTAGAGCCTGGATCAAATAATTTCAAGGCGGGCTGCTGGCGTAAAATTATCGTACCTGTGATCACATCGTCTGATGCCTCAGCCTCCGCCCTCGCCGGAGCTGCATAGAAATGGCTATGTCTGCCTCTGCCATGACCAACAAACCTACCACCTGACCAGCCTCCTCGGGGACCACCCCATATACCCTGTTGACCACCTCTACGGTGATAACCCTGACCATGGCCTCTAACTTGAGGTGTTGTTAAAGTTGGGGGAGATGCATGAGGAGCTGGAGCAATCCGACTATGCTGAGGGCAGTTCCTGGCCCAATGACCCATCTCACCACACTCATAGAAACCCTGTCGACGGTGACTCCCAGAAGAACGACTACCATGGCCTCAAGAACCCGATTGAAACACCTCGCGGACCTGACACGAACTAGCTTCACTCCGACCACCATCTGATGCCTGAAGAAAGGTCTGTGTAGGTCTGCTTGACTGACCCTGTCGAAACCGTCGTCCGGCTTTGTCATGATTATCTCTACACCTAGGGCAGGAGTCACGGTAGCTTCCCTCAGGCCTAGCCCTCTTCTCGCTGGCCCCTTAGGCCTCGCGACGAAGATGCTCCATAATACTGGTAGAGTTCCAACTGGCCTGGTCTGAATGAATGTGTGCCACCACTGCCTGGCTGGCCCATCTAGCTGGTAAGCAATGAAGTCAGCCCCTCTACACCCTACAAGGCCCAAAGTGTGAAGCCTCTCACGACAAGTAGTTAGAAACTCGTGGGCAACCTTGCCCACTGTCCCAGAAAACCTCGGTGGTGTCAACCTGAGAAACACACCAAGCATTTTCTGGTCCTCAAGTGGCAACGTCCGCTGCCAATGGTTGTACCTCCTCGGGTGGTACCTGGACCTGAGGTGCCCTCTCTGTAGGCTGATCCTGCCGTACTAGTGCAGGTGTAACTTGGGAGAGTGGTTGCTTTATCCCCCCAAGCACACCTAAGAGTTGAGTAATACCGGCCTAGAGATCTGGAATCAGAACTAGTCCGGGTGACGGCTAGGCTGGCCCCGACCCCACCTGCTGATCTGGTATACGAAGTGCTGAAGGGTCTTGTACAGGCTCTATCCCCGGGACTGATGTTGTGGCCCTCTCTCGATCTTGGGGTCGGCGTCTACCCTAAGCAGGGGCTTTGTCTGCAGGCATGGGTGCATCACCCCCGGTCGCGCCACCTCGCGAGCGAGCCATCCTGCGAAAGAGTGAAACAAGTGAGATCTAAAGGAACCAAGAAGACACATATTGCACGAAAGTGAAACAAAAGAGGAAATCTTTCGAAGGACATCCTGTAGCTTCCCGAAGAAAAGTTACGGACGTCTCCGCACCGATCCGCAAAAGTATACTAGACGTTAGCTCTGTACAAGTGAGACCGATAAACCTGGGGCTCTAACCACAACCCGATTTCTCGAGTGATGATGGCACCTACTATACCCTACCAATAGGTAAGCCAACCCTTAACCAAGAACATCAACCAATGAGCGAAAGGGCAAAAACTAACGATAATAATAATCTAAACAAGAATAACAAGGCGGAAGAAACCCTAAATAAATATATACAGAAATCCCTCCCAGAACCTGGAAGTCACTAGTACAGAACTATCTAATAAAGAGTACAAGTCCCAACACTGGACCACAACAGAGCGTGTTTCAAGGGCAACAGGACTAGCGAAAAACAAAAGAAGGCTGGAACTAATCACCGCTGGTAACTGGTACTGGGACCTGCATCACGAAATAGATGCAGAGCTTAGCATGAGTACTAACACAACAGGTACTCTGTAGGCATCATAGGCCGACTGAACAAAAAGGGTAAAACAATTACAAAGGGTAGAATCTAGACACAGAGAGGTCAAAGCGGATACGAAAAGACAGAACACGAGCATACCAGAAACAAACTAAGTACAACTAAACTAAACCTAACTTGACCACCATATGCCCTGAAGGTACACTAGTGGGCAGGGTAAAAAAAAACCTGAATGAACCCCCATAAGCCCGAAAGGTCCACAGAAAAGCTAAGTCGACTGAGGAAGAAGAAAATCGGGCTCCCAGCCCGAACTAACTAAGATATTCCATCAGACTCCACCCAGCCAGCAGTGCACTCTGAGCCCAGCTAGAAAGAGTGAACCTAGGGGGCACCCAAACAAACAGTCCACTCTCAGCCCAGCTTGAAAGAGATACCCGTTAGTGAGGTAGATATCGCGAGTCGTCCTACCATGCAGTCAGCTCCCAACCAAGCTAGAAAGGGCAACCTGGGGACATCCCGTAGGCATCACACTCCCAGCCCAGCTACAAAGCTAGGCCTGGGGGAGATCGCCGAAATCATCGAGTCTACCCAGCCAGCGATACGTTCCCAACCCAGCCAGAAAGAACGACCCCGGGGGTGATGGTATCTCCAATAGGATTCATTCTAACAACAACCAACGTGCAACGCCGTCCACTCTAAGACATCACAGAAAAGACTCCAAGCCTATACTATCTCAATCCCACGCCTCTAATGATGCACCAAACCTTCGAGAATGCGTCGGAACCAAAGAATGATAGGGGGCAGATACAATAGTGCAGCAAGTAGCGATAACGCCTAATCTAAGGCCCAAACTATCAGACTCAAGTCTTCTATTCCAGTCTACAAGGAGCTAAGTCATCCGAACGACGTCGGCAACAAGTCAAGGCTATCCAGCCCACACGAGTCATAAGTCTAAGCCAACCCCAATTCACTCCAATCGATATGTTCTTACACAATTAAGCTCAATCTAAAAGAAAGTAAGTTGTAGCCTACCTTGAGGTCGACCATGCGCGCTACAAATCACTTGACCGGAGCTTTTCCTTCCCTAATGACCTTTGAATGCTGTCACTTTATCAAATATAGGATCACAACGTTAGTACGATCGGTTAGAAACCAAAGTAACAACAAACGGAGAAGGGTCTAATTTGGAGTCAAAACGGGAATCATGGGATCCAAACTGAACTGTCCGAATTTGACTCCGTCGAGAGACCCTATACAGCACCCCAAACATATGTTCCAAAATGGAACACAATTAGAGGCTCAAAACATAGCAAACACCAACAAGCAAGAAACCACACTTTAATCAACTAAACAAAAGAAAACAGCAGCAGTCCAAACTCAGAATAAACAAGAATCGAACGGTGCGCAGCACTCTTTGAATACTCTATGATGAAGTCTCAACAATTATCAACACGTGGGACTTTCAAACACCCAAAACCGAGCTAAAATGAGAGAGAGATGACCAAAACAAGAATGCCAAAAACAAAGGCTCAAAAATCGGGTACAGTAGTCAGGTAAATCGCAAAATTTCCTCGAACTACATGCACCCAACAACTTCTGAACACTTTACAGCGAAGTCACCGAAAATACGAAGCTCCCGCACTTTGAATCACCTAATTCGGACAAATGATGAGAGAGTTATGAGAGTTTCAAGGTGTGGAAAAGGTTGCTGTTTTTCTGCATTAAATAGCAGATTTGCTGCAATTTTTTTCCAAAACTACAATCTCCGACAGGGTGCTCCGAACTCGTTCGGAACCCTGTGCACTCAAACGAGATATGCAACAATACCAAATTTGATATTCCGGACTCAACGGCGTAGTCCATATTTCCACAGACGTCATCTCGATAAAAAGTGGGTCCTATTTCGAAAGGCCATTTTAAGTCAAAACCCACAAAAGGCCTCGTAAAGTTAACCAAAACCTCAGTACACAAAATAATAGTCAATTAACAGCAAACTCGACATTCCGGAACTAACAGCGCTGACGGAATTCTCATCCGAGTGCGTTTAGAAATGTTGACCAAAGTCAAACTTAGGCTTAAACTTAAAGTTAAAACGCCTAATCGCGCCGACTCACACTGAAATCCTCGGGAGTCATGTGCGCGTAATCGCGCCGACTCACACTGAAATCCTCGGGAGTCATGTCCACCATGCCACTAGCCTAAAATGACCCTTCCGGAGCTGATGGAATTGTCAAAATTGGATTCCGATGTTATCTTCTTGAACTTTTGATCGAAAATGATCGTTCAAAGTTCATAAGCTCCAAAACATAAAAACTCACACCAAGACCAAACAAACGATATCCTCACATCACTGTCAGTCCCAGCAAGTCATAAATGATTTGGGATCGCTACAGGAACGCTCTAAACGACACACAAAAGGCAAGACACAGAAATGACCTGGAGGGTCATTACAATATCCACTACTAAAAAGGACTATCGTCCACGAAAGATAGGATCAAGAAGTACCTGAAGGCTCAAACAAGCCAGGAAACTGCTCTCGCATCTCCTGCTCGGTCTCCCAGGTAGCCTCCTCGACTGGACAATGCCTCTAACGGACCTTAACAAAACGAATGGGTCTTTAGCGCAATCTCCTCACATCACTGGCAAGAATGGTAGCTGGCTCCTCTACAAATGTCAAACGATCATCCAGCTCAACTGCATCATACTGGAGCACATGGGACTCAATAGGAACATATCGCCGCAATATCGAGACATGGAAAATCGGGTGACTGGCTGAATATGCTGGAGGTAGGGCCAACTCATAAGCAACCTCCCCAACTGTCCGGAGTATCTCTAAAGGCCCAATGTACTTGGGGCTAGGCTTGCCCCACCTCCCAAACCACATAACGCCCTTCATGGGTGACACACGGAGGAATACCCGATCACCAACAGAGAATCTCAAAGGTCGGCGCCTCCGACCCGTATCCCAGAACATCAAGCAAGGAGCGAAACGGCAGAAATTAACGATAACAATAATCCAAACAAGAATAACAAGGCGGAAGCAAACCAAAATAAATATATACAGAAATCCCTCCCAAAACCTCGAAGTCACTAGTACAGAGCTATATAATAAAGAGTACAAGTCCCAAAAGTAGACCACAACAGAGCGTGTCTCAAAGGCAACAAGACTAGCTAAAAATAAAAGAAAGAGACAGAACAAACCCAAACGCCAAGTGCTCGCCATCGTCTCCGAATCACAGCTGCAAAAGAAGGCTGGAACTAATCACCGCTGGTAACTGGTACTGGGACCTGCATCACGAAATAGATGTAGAATGTTGCATGAGTACCGACACAACAGGTACTCAGTAGGAATCATAGGCCGACTGAGCAAAAAGGGTAAAAACAATAAGAAAAGATAGAATCTAGACACAGAGATGTCAAAATGGATACGAAAAGAAAGCACACGAGTATACCAGAAACAAACTAAGTACAACTAAACTAAACCAAAATGGAACCCTATATGCTTAGAAGGTACACTCGTGCACAAGCTCAAATAAAACCTGAACGAACCCCTATAAGCCTGACAGGTACACAGAAAAGCTAAGTCTACTGAGAAAGAAAAAAATCGGGCTCCCATCCCAAACTAACTAAGATAATCCATCAGACTCCACCCAGCCAGCAGTGCACTCCCAGACCAGCTAGAAAGAGTGACCCTAGGGGGCACCCAACCAAACAGTGCACTCCCAGCCCAGTTAGAAAAGGGACCCGTGAGTGAGGTAGATATCGCGAGTCGTCCTACCTTGCAGTCAGCTCCCAGCCCAGGTAGAAAGAGCGACCCGGGGACACCCAGCAGGCAGCACACTCCCAGCCCAGCTACAAAGAGAGGTCTGGGGGAATTTGACTTCGTCAAGAGACCCTAACCAACACCCCAAACTTATGTTCCTAAATGGAACTCAATTCCAGGCTCAAAATATAGCAAAAACCAACAAGCACGAAACCACACTTTAATCAACTAAAAAAAAGAAAGCAGCAGCAGTCCAAACTCGGAATAAACGAGAATCAAAAGTTGCCCAGCACTCTTTGAACACTCTACGATGAAGTCTCGACAATTATCAACACGTGGCACTATGAATCACCCAAAACCGAGATGAAATGAGAGAGATATGACCAAAACAAGAATGCCAAAAGACAAAGGCTCGAAAAAGGGGTACACCCAAACACTTCCGAACACTATACAGGAAAGCCACCAAAAATACGAAGCTCCCGCACTTTGAATCACCTAATTCAGAAAAAAGATGAGAGAGTTATGACACTTTGAAGGTTTGAAAAAGGTTGATGTTTTTCTGCATGAAATAGCAGATTTGCTGCAATTTCTTTCCAAAACTAAAAACTCCGACGGGGTGCTCCGAACTCGTTCGGAACCCGTGCACGTAAACGAGATATGAAACCATACCAAATTTGATTTTTTGGACTCAACGGCGTAGTCGAAATTTCCACAAACGTCATCTCGATAAAAAGTGGGTCCTATTTCCAAAGGCCATTTTAAGTCAAAACCCACAAAAGGGCTCGGAAAGATATCCAAAACGTCGGGACACAAAATAAGGGTCAATCTAGACGAAACTCGACATTCCGGAACTAACCGCGCTGACGGAATTCTCATCCGAGCGCGTTTACTAAGAATGTTGACCAAAGTCAAACTTAGGCTTAAACTTAAAGTTAAAATGCCTAATCGCACCGACTCCCACTGAAATCCTCGGGAGTCATGTCCAACATGCTACTAGCCTAAAATGACCCTTTTGGAGCTGATAGAATCGTCAGAATTGGATTCCGATGTCATCTTCTTGAACTTTTGATCGAAAATGATCGTCCAAGGTTCATAAGCTCCAAAACACAAAAACTTGCACCAAGACCAAACAAACGACCAGGTGACCGAACTGTCAGTCCCGACAAGTCATAAATGACTTGGGGTCACTACAGGAACGCTCTGAACGACGCACAAATGGTAAGACACAGATATGACCGGGAGGGTCATTACAATATCCACTACTAGAAAGGACTTTCGTCCACGAAAGATAGGATCAAGAAGTACCTGAAGGCTCAAACAAGCCAGGAAACTGCTCTCGCATCTCCTGCTCAGTCTCCCAGGTAGCCTCCTCGACTAGACGGTGCCTAAAATGGACCTTAACAAAAGGAATGGCTTTTGAGCGCAATCTCCTCACATCAATGGCTAGAATAACAACTGGCTCCTCTACAAATGTCGAACGATCATCCAACTCGACTGCATCATACTGGAGCACATGGGACTCATCAGGAACATATCGTCGCAACATCGAGACATGGAAAACCGAGTGGATGGTTGAAAATGCTGGAGGTAGGGCCAACTCATAAGCAATCTCCCAAACTGTCCGGAGTATCTCAAAAGGCCCAATGTACCTGGGCATAAGCTTACCCCGCCTCCTAAACCTTATAACGCCCTTTATGGGCGACACACGGAGGAATACTCGATCACCAAAAGATAATCTCAAAGGTCGGCGCCTCCGATCCGCATAACTCTGGTGCCTACTCTGATTCGTCCTGATCCTATCCTGAATCACCCTCACCTGATCCAGCGCCTCCTGAAGCAAATCTGTAACACGCGGCCTAGGCTCTGTAGACTCAAACCAACCAATAAGAGAGCGACAATGCGTACCATATAACGCCTCGAATGGGGCCATCTGAATACTAGAGTGGTAGTTGTTGTTGTACGCAAACTCCGCCAAAGGTAAGCACTAGACCCACTGAACTCCAAAATCGATAACGCAGGCCCGCAACATATCCTCAAGGACCTGAATAGTACTCTCTGACTGGCCATCCGTCTGCGGGTGAAAAGCTGTACTAAGGTCTACTCGAGTGCCCAACTCATCCTGAAAGGTCCTCCAAAATCTAGACGTGAACTGAAAACCCCGATCTGATATAATAGAAACTGGCACCCCATGAAGTCGAACCGCCTCCCGAGTGTAGATACGAGCCAACCTCTTGGCCCTAAATGAGGACTGAATAGGAAGGAAATGTGTTGACTTGGTCAATCGATCAACGATGACCCAAATGTTGTCAACACATCTAGAAGTCCGAGGCAACCCCACAATGAAGTCCATAGTGATACGCTCCCACTTCCACTCCGGAATGGGTAATCTCTGAAACTAACCACCAGGCCTCAAATGCTCAGCTTTTACCTGCTGGCAGCACAAGCAATGGGAAATAAAGTCAGTAATATCTCTCCTCATGCCACTCCACTAGTATTGCTGCCTCAAATCATGATACATCTTTGATGTGCCCTGATGGATAGAGTATCTTGACTTATGGCCCTCAGAAAGTATCAATTGAATCAAATCTCCAATTCTCGAAACACAGATGCGACAGGCGAATCTCAACTTTCCATCAGGATCTAAGGTATCCTGACCACCATCACCCGCTAACACTCGATCCCTAAGGGCTACCATGGCCTCATCCTCAAACTGACAACCACGGATCCTATCAACAAAGGAAGACTGAACTCCCATATGGGCCAAGATACGTCTAGGATCTGAGATATCCAACCGAACCATGCTATTGGCTAAGAACTGAATGTCCATAGCCAAGGGTCGCTCCTTAACAGAAAAGAACGCTAGGCTACCCATACTCACTGCCTTTCGGCTCAAGGCATCCACTACCACATTCAACTTGCCCGAATAATAGAGAATAGAGAGTCCATAGTCCTTCAGGAGCTCAATCCAACGACGCTACCCAGAATAAAGGTCCATCTAGCTCATGATGTACTGAAGACTACTGTGATCGGTGTAGATCTCACATCCAACTCCATACAATTAGTGCCTCCAAATCTTAAGTACGAAAACTACCACCGCCAACTCTAAGTCATGGGTGGGGTAGTTGCCCTCATGAATCTTAAGCTGCTTCGACGCATAAGCAATAACCGGCCCTGCTGCATCAATACACAACCCAAACCAATGTTGAATGCGTCTCAATAGACCGTGAAGCCCTCGCCCTTAACTGGAAGAGTCAATATAGGAGCGGTGGTCAATAACTCCTTGAACCTCAAAAAGCTCACCTCACACTCCTCTAACCAAACAAAAGGGACATCAACACGACTCAACCGGGTAAGAGGTGCTGCCAAGTTAGTGAAACCCTCCACAAATCGTCTCTAGTAGCCTGCTAGTCCGACGAAGCTCCAAATCTCAGTAACTGAGGTGGGCTTAGCTCAATCACGAATAGCCTCAATCTTCGCCGGATCTACCATAATGCCCTCATTGGATACAACATGCCCCAAGAATGCTACAGAGTCTAACCAAAACTGGCACTTTGAGAACTTGGCATAAAGCCGCTGATCTGTCAAAGTTTGGAGCACAACTCTCAAATGATGCTCATGATCACCCCTACTCCGCGAGTATATCAAAATGTCATCATTGAAGACTATGACGAAGGAATCAAGATAAGGCCTGAACACGCGCGTCATCAAGTCCATAAAGGCAGTAGGGGCATTAGTCAACCCAAATAACCTCACCAAGAACTCATAATGGCCATAACGGGTCCTCAACTGGTGCTAACCGGACCTCAAATCAATCTTAGAGAATACTGAAGATCCTTGTAGCAGCTCAAATAGGTCATCAATCTTAGGCAGAGGATATCGATTCTTCATTCTAACCTTATTCAACTGCCTATAGTCAATGCACATGCACATCGTACCTTTCTTCTTCTTAACAAAAAGAACGGGAGCACCCCAAGAGATCCTGAGGCTGAACACTGAGCTCCTTGAGCTCTGCAGGAGGCATCCGATATGGCGGATTAGAAATAGGCCGAGTACCTGACTCAAGCTCAATAGGAAAATCAGTATCACGCTCCGGGGGTAGGCCAGGTAGGTCAGTAGGACACATCTAAGAAGTCACGAACAACAGGAACTGACTCAATCGGAGGAACCTCCCTACTCACATCACGAACATAGGCCAAATATGAAAAGCATCC